CGCTGCAGCATACAGAAAAACCCAACTGATATTTATGGTAATTCATAAACAGTGTCACCTTCACGTATTTTTTACCACCAGACAAGTTCATTTCTCATCTGTCCTGCTCAGGAAGAATCTGAGTAGCAGTTTTTTAAGAAGCAAATGAAAGCAAATGTCTGTTTATGCTGCGTAAAATCACAACATTAGCTGATTCATTGTTGTCTCCATATCAATATTGGTATCAGCTTGAATAAATTGCAGCAATCAGGCTAATTAGGAGACCTTTAAAAGGAGTGCCAAGACTTAATGGGAATCCATTCACCCTATATGATTGAAAACCCCAACATTTCAACCTCATGCTGGCAGCAGATTAAAAAAAGTTCACTAAATTCATTGGGATTCTCTGGGGAATATGATTGTACAAAATTTCATGGCAAGCCGTCCAACATTTGTTGAGTTATTCCACAGATCAAAGTGGTGCACAGCCAGACTCACAGACCTTAAATAAAAAGGTAAAGCGAGTTAATTCCCTGTTGGCAGCATTGTGAGTTTTGTACAGTGCACATATAAAGGATGATAAATGTGCTTTTTCACAGTTGAAAGGCAGCTAATGGAGCAGGCATGACGTGTTAGACAAAAGGCACTTTAACAAGGACATGAAAGACACGAAAGGACAGAATTGGAGTGTTCCCGAATGAACTCATCCCTCACTCGATGACAGATCAAACATTTAGACGGTGACATTTGTCGTGCTGTTTGTTATTTGCATAAGTTGTCTCATCCTACATGTTGAGGAGGTTGTGAGGATTTTCAAAGGCAAAGCGCACCACTGTGTTGTGATGTATCTTTGAGGCAATAAACAACATGGAGGACTGAAAAATGGTTGTTTTTCATTAGGTGTCAGGATGTTCTTTTTTTTCTGTCACTTTAGTAGAAACTTGATTAAGGACAATATGCTACCTGCGTGTCAGCTTTGTCATTTGAAGGTTGATGTTGCATTCATAGTGGTGACAGTTTATAATAAGGCACCCACAGTTAAGAGTATATATAGTGAGAAACTGTTTTATTAATGATCAATAAATTATTTGTTAACGCTTTTTAGAGCATTAATATAATGGAACTTGATGTGTCTTTTTAGCTACCTGTTTAATTCATCAGGTAGATTCCTCCAGCGGGACCTTTGATCTCATTAACCAAGTGGAAAAGAGGTGCATCTGGACCAAAATTCATTTTTAAACCACCTAATAACATTTACAACTGTTTACTTAGAGATAACTGTAAAATCTCTTGTTAATTATTAAGAAGGATTGTATATTTTGTAACACTTTGTTTCTCGTAAACCTGGAAAGTACATTAAAATATCATAATCCAGTACACTGAGGAGTTTTGCAGCTATACTAGGTCTGGTTTTACTGTTACTTTATAGTGGGAGGAAAATGTGCATAGATGTGCTCCAGTTTAGCATTTACCGTTATCTGCTTATAACTGCTTTTGTTGCAACCACAGTGGCAGCTGTTTGCCAAAAATTGCACACACTTCATTTCAGTTCTGGTTCTTGTGGTGACACCCATGGTTTCCTGTGGGGAGAACAGGTGTGATTTAGTACCACAGCAAACACTCCTCGAGCAGCCACTCACAAAATGACAAACGCATTGCATTTGATTTAACTGCTTCACCGTTAAAAAAAAACAAAAAGCACTGTGTTTCCCCAGTGGAATGCTTTGAATGCTAGCTAGCAGCCTTGAGAAATTGTTCGGTGTGGAAATGGCAAACTCTGCCACTAACAATTAAAACCTCTATATAGAGACGTAATTACAGAACGGGAGCTATGTATGCTTATTGCTGGAAACCAGAGTTTTATTTCATTCCTTTAATGGTAAACTCAACTTTTCTAACTATAAACTGGATGGTTTATTGGTATGTGAGAAAATAGG